ACGGCCTCTTCTTTTAGGGTGTTTTCACACCTGGCCCGTTGTTTCGCCTGGCTCGTTGTTTCCCCCCTTAGCTCGGTTCGTTTGGTCATATGTGAACACGGCAATCGCTCCCGGATCCGCGCCAAAACAATCGGTCCGAGATCGTCTGAACGAGGTGGTCTCGACTCGATTGAAAACGGTTGTAGTGAGAAAGCAATCCTATCTAACGGACCAACGAACCAGGCTATATCACAATGTATAATGGGTAATTACATAAGTTCCGTGAAAAGCATTAGCTTTGTTGTTTTGCTAATACTTCAAAATGAACCTGTGAATGTCTGTGGGTGAGCACGTCTTCGCCATTCAAAATAAAAAAGCGCACTTTTTCATTTTATAATGCCGTCTTATTGCTCTTCTTCCTAGTAGGTGCATTTTAAAAATGTTTTCCCGATGAATCCTGGACTCCTGCTCAAAATGATAAATTAATATAAGGACAGCTACAAAAAAAAAAAAGAAGCTGTTGTCGTTCCATCCTGACGGATGACAAGCATGACAGCTGTGGAATCCCGGAAAATAAACCGTGGAACTTTGACCAATGAGTGGATTTAGTCTGTCTCAGTTTGTTCTGTTTCTTCATGTCATTCCAGACAGACTGGATGATGATCAGATCAGATCTCTGTGTGGAGCACTGGCTGTTGTCTGACTCCTTGTGCAAACAAAAATCTCACTGGATTATTACAATTAATGGCAAAATGAATGTTTGGAAATGTAAACTGATATTTCCTACTGACACTAAAGCAAAATATTTTTTAGCTGGTGAAAATACTAGTGTTCTAATCATTTTGGCCACCACTGTACCTGCATGGTTTAAATAAAGCACTATATATTTTATATAGAGGTATGGATATAGTTAAAATGTAAAAAGTGAGTTTTATTTATTTGATTGATATTTTATTATAAAATGTTTTTTATATATATATATTTATAATGCTTTGTTAAACATTAAACCACTATGCAGAGACAGCCAGACTTTACTGAAAGATTAATGTTTGTTCCAAGCTTGCAACTGACGCATGCATTTGCATGATTTAGGCAGTTCTTTTTTATTGCCGAGTCATTTTATATACTGCGACAGAATGAATATTATGAGTTATCAATTTAAATATATAGTGAATGAATAAGTATCTAGATTTTGTTTATGTGTACATTATGTCTTAGATCTGTAAATATCATTTTGTGTGTTTATTGAGTAGCTGTGCTAGAAAGAGATAATGTATGTTTGTTGCTCTCCTGTAGATGTGTGTGTTTATGTGTTTGTGTGACAGATCTCAGTGCGAGTGTTTGATTGTCGTCTCTGCTCTGCAGGATAAGACCAGCGCTCTGAGCCTCAGTAATGTGGCTGGAGTTTTCTACATTCTGATTGGTGGGCTTGGGCTGGCCATGCTGGTGGCCCTGGTTGAGTTCTGTTACAAATCCAGAATCGAGTCTCGAAGGATGAAGGTTTGTAAAAACCATGATAATCCACCCCGTTCGGCATCTACAGCCCAGTATAGTGCAATATTTAGATCTGTCCACATTTAATTATGGGCTTTGTGTTTGGCACTTATAATGTTTTATAACTGCTATCATATACTGACCTCGCTTTCTCTGGGGGATCTGGCAGAGGAACGTGTTGGCATTTAAGAGGTAATTGTGGGTGGGTGTAAACATCATACCACCCACTGCGCCTCTCACTAATCCTGGAGCGCATTGCTCTTGAACGCTTACAAAATTAAGAAGAATACAGTGACTTATATGTATTTAATTACCCACAAACCCATGTGGTGACTCATCATTTTCATTTAAGGTCCTTCAAAGGGAAATCTGAGAAGTCATTTTTAAGACATGGTTTATGAAACACATGGTGTTGCATAAATATATTTTTCAGACAGCGTCCAGGAACAGCCATTTTTAAATGTAATAGATTATCATGATTACTTTCCACATGAAATGGCTTAGGTACAGTTTCCTTTCATGCGTTGACATTTTTTATTAAAACAGGACATTTGGGAAATGTTCGGTGGAACATAAAAAATGATTGTCAGTGTGGTATAGTGTTGTTTTTGGATCAAGTTAATTTTCATTGTATGGACAAAAACATACATGTTTTGCAGAAGAAAAAAGCCATACAGGTTCGGAACAACATGAGGGTTAATAACAAAATGTACATTTTTAGTAATAGTTCGCCCAAAAATGAAAATTTGCTGAACATTTACTCACCTTCAGGCCATCCAATATGTAGATGAGCTTGTTTATTTATCAGAAATTTAGCTTTAGATCACTTGCTCACCTGTGGATCCTCTGGAGTGAATGGGTGCCATCAGAATGAGAGTCTAAACAGCTGATAAAAACATCTAAATAAAGTGTTATAAAATCCATCTCCTGTTGTCTTCTCACATCAAAATCACACTGGCATTTTTGTTTAGAATTATTTTTGACTGTTTTCGCTTGTAAACAGTGCTTGATCTGTACGTCTTTCTCTCCTGATTCAGAAAAGATGACTTTTCACATGAGAAAGCAATAATATGGATAGAGGACTATGTCATCATGGATTTTTTTATTATAAACACACAGCTTTTTGCTTCACAAGACATTAACTCTTTCCCCGCCAGCATTTTTGATTTGTTCGGGAGGTTTTGTACTCGTTCAGAAGATGTGTAATAGCGCCCCCTAATGTATAACAGTGAAAACACGAAAAGGGAAACATTGTCTTCTTAAAGATGAGATAACTCGTCAATGGTGGGGAAAGAGTTAACTGATGGACTGGAGTTGTGCTGATTACTTGTGGATTATTGATGATTATTGATGTTTTTATCAGCTGTTTGAACTCTCATTCTGACGGCACCCATTCACTCCAGAGGATCCACTGGTGAGCAAGTGAATCTAATGAAGAATCTAATGAAGAAACAAACTCATTTACATCTTGGATAGCCTGAGGGTGAGTAAATATTTAGCAGATGTTCATTTTTATGTGAACTATTCCTTTAAGTGTAACGCCGCTAAATATTTTTACCATGTATTTTGTCACACCATCTTCTTCAGCGACAGAACACTTGAAGAATGAAGAGAGAAGAGTGGCAAGCCATTACAATCACAGAACAGCCACATTTAGAATATCACAGCAACAAATCTTTGTTGCTTGCAGGTCAATTAGTCTGCATCAGCCCAAGCAACATAATCCCCAGCAATCCACAGAAGTGTGCTGGATTTAAATCATTTATTCGTCAAGGATGTACAAACCAGCATCCACATCATTAGCTCCAGTTTCAAGCCTACAGGGTTTCATTATGTAAAATTGCTACATGAGAGAGTGGCTCTGAGTTAGTGTGGCACTGGTCTCATCATTGCTGCACTTGATGGCTGTTATTTTTCACCATTTTTTTTTGTCATGAATCATTGCCCGCACTGGCTGGAGCAAATCCTCAGATCAAATGAAATGTGTTTATGCGTAATTGAGGTCAGAGCTGGCGCGAACCGTTAGCCGGCTTCAAAACTGCACCGCATGTGCACTGTTTTGCCGTTTGTGCTGCAATGCCTGCGCAGTGTGCTGTCTGAGCAGCTTCTTTGTGTTTCTTTTCTCCTAGCAAATCATTGATGCGGCCATGCTCGGCTCCACACTGACTAGGATGGGCAGCGGAGGTGAGAACGGACGCGTGATGGCCCATGATTTCCCCAAAGCGCCACAGACTCTGCCATGTATGGGCCAGGCAGCCGCCATGGGCCTCAGCACCACTGGGATGTAAACAGCCATCAGCCTCTCCAAGATCAGGGGACATCAGGAGACCGATGGAAAGAGTGGGAGAGGACATGAGAGACACTGCAGCGTACCGCTCACCTGCCACTGAAGTACTGCCAAATGGATTCATGGAAACACTCTGGGCTCCAAATCAAATTAGATAAGGAGGGAGGAAAATCACTTTTCTAATATTAAGATGTGTTTTTTTTTGGAACTTCTCCGGTGCAATAAGGAGACCATGCGTGAGATGTTTTTGTATGAAGTATCATTTTTGACAAAACCGAGAAATTTCCCTCAATCTCATAAATTACTGACAATTGAACTGCTGTGTTTCCCCCCAAATAACAATTTCCAGTTGTGCTCATTTTATTCTTTTAATCACACATCTCTGTTTGAGGAACATTTTTGCCCAAAGTATTCTTCAACCATAGATACATCATTTATCAAATAGGAATAGTTCACCCAAAAATGAAAATTTAATGTCTAACTTGTACTGTGAATGAAAATTTTTCTTAATGGAAACAAATTCTGAGAAGTTTTTCCATGGCATCACTTGCTCACCAATGAATCCACTGCAGTGGATGGGTACCGTCAGAATGAGAGTCCAAACAGTTGATAAAAACATCACAGTAATTCACAAGTAATCCACATGACTCCAGTCCATCATTTTATGTCTTGTGAAGCAACACGCTGTGTTTGTAATAAACAAATTCTCATTCTGATGGCACCCATTCACTCCTTTGGTGGGCAAGTGATGTAATGCTAAATTTCTTCAAATCTGTTCCTATGAAGAAACAAACTCATCTACATGTTGGATAACCTGAGAGTGAGTATATATTTTTAAGCAAATTTTCCTTTTTGGGTGAACTGTTCCTTTAAAGGGAAGTGTGTAATTTCTGAGTCAGATTGGCAAAAATAATGACCTCTGTCTGCCATTGGTTGGACAAACAAATAGTCCTGTACTAAACTCAAAGTTTTAGTATGTGCACTATAAAGTGCTTACTATACAGACGTTGAGTATGAATCTGGGAAAGGAGAAAGTATTTTAAAGGGATAGTTCACCCAAAATTGAAAATTCTGTAATTATTTTCTCACCCACATGCTGTTCCAAATCTGACTTTTTTGTGGAATGTTTTAATTTCCCTTGACTGTCATTTTATGGACAAAATAATTTAAACATTCTACAAAATATCTTCTATGTTCCACAAAAGAAAGAAAACCATAAAGGTTTGGAACGACAGAATTACAATTTTTGGATCAACTATCCTTTTACCATTGAAACAGTTATACACTTCACCTTTAAGAAACAATTATGAATGAAATTAAATGTTTGTTTGATGTAGTCCCATGAAAGCTAGGAAGTGTGCTACATCAGTGTGTCAGCTTCATTGCACAGTCTACAAATGTCTTCCTTTCCAACCAGTTTGATTGGCAAGCCTCTCTAGGGAAGGTGAGTTCTTCCATAGGTTCGGAGAGGCTGATTACCAGTCCTGTCATTGTTACTGCTGTAGCTCACAGTCTCACCCTTCACTTACGGACACTTTGGATCAATCACCGCTTTCCCGTCCATTCTGCTCAATAGAGTCTGAGAGTTAAAGACATCAGAGAGCGAGAAAAGGGGGTATAGGCTACGCAGCTCCACGTTTTTTGTTACTGTTTTGCTACTTCCATTCTGTCTTCCTTTCTTGGTTTACATGACATTTTTCTGTTGAAGTAGCTGATGATATGTATAGTACATCATTCCCACACTCAACCGTTAATGAGTTCGGTGTACACAGATGCGATAGTATCAACAAATTCAAGGGCAGCATGAGCACCCAGGAGAACGTCGACTTAGAAGCCCTAAAACTTATGTTTGTAATATTGTCTTTGTAATAACAGTTGAAATACTGTCGTGTAAACACCCAATTCCATAAAGTATTTTATGGAAATCAGCCTAATAGCTGACACACGGACAACAATTGCTCATGCTGTGAGATTAATAGGGTGATTTAATAGCCTGACTCTAACAGTCCATTTGAGAGGAACAAAGCTCGGTGGCGATGGCTTGTTTGCTTCAGTCGTTCGTTGCTTTATGCTGTAATAAAATGAACCCACTTTTGGATACATAGACAGGCAACAAATGATGTCAGTAACTAATGATGATATTCAAACCTACTGAATCTTAAACTAAGACTCGCTTTTTGAATTTCGAGGTGCCACATCTGGCCTTGTGCTTCTCTACCAGACTGGACGCGCTGATTCAAGCACAGAACGGGATGTGAGGTGGTAGATCACAATGAAAGAGATGAACTCTAATGGACTGATCATCAGAAACTATAAACGAGCACAGAGGTAAAACTGAATGTCAGTACGCTAAGCACAAGATCTTCATTCAGCCATTCAGGAGAACTTTCTCTCCCCGGATGAGGCTCTGTCGGGAGCTTTTCTCTGTTTGTATCCTTCCTCAATACTTTGCCATTGGACCTTCAGCGGTTATACATCGTCTGTTCTTTTTATTGCCAATTCCATTTGTACAAAATAGAGAGAATCAACCATAACATGACGTGGAACATTTGTGCTGACAAAAAGGTGCTTTGTGGCCTTTGTTTTCCATTCGATGGGTTATTCGTTTCGTTTAGTATATTTTGAATTATTTCTGGTCTTGTATTTAAAGTGAAATTCTGTATTTAGGTGTTTCTTTGGTTGGTTTTGCACTTCTAGTCTTAAATAGGGCTGTCAATTGATTAAACATTTTAATCGAATGAATCACGATATACTGATTAATTAGTCGAATTAATCACATACTGTATATCCATGTTTCCTGAGAAAGAAATAAAATACATTTAAAATGAATTTATTAATTAATCATTTAAAAATACAACATTATTGTGGCATGACAGCTTTAAACAGACATTACACAATGTGATTTATATATTGTCAGTAAGTCAGTATATTGTTTTTTTCTTCTTCATATGATTGAACATGAGCACTCATCAATCTGTCTGAGGAAGTTTTCTGTTACTGTTTTTCAGCATTGTGTTAATTTTATTATTGCTTATTTTATTTAACCAGTAAAACATCTTATTACCTTGACAGCCCTACACTTCAGCCCTCCTCTTTTTCACATTCACCTCACAAAATACCTTTTAAAAACAGCAGCAAGATGTAACAGCAAGAAATCAACGTGTTAAGGAAATTCAGAAATAAACTTTTTCTTACTGAACGCTTTTTGTTTCCTATCAAAATGTCTGCTTTTTGACGTATGTGTCTTATTCTCTTTGTCGCTCTCTGTTCTTAACTAGTTGACATTTGCATTTGTTTTAAGAATGAATGATGCCAAATCTAGAGTCACGTCATCTACCTCTTCTGTTTCTTCTCATCAGATGAATTCATGTCCACGACTGAGCTGCACTGATACAGAACATCTTGTTTGAGCTCTGTTGGCTCTCAGAGTGATGTATTGATCTCAATAAATGCCACATTTGTTCTCTTCCTTCTGTTTCCCCCATAGGCCTGGCCTTTCACTCACTCACTTCCAGCAGAGGAATAGCTCATGCTCAAGACATAGAAAGTGCCAGAGGCTTCCGTGCATTTGCATTGTTCAGAAATTCAGTACTATCTGAACTCCGCTAATTGTGTGCCTACAGGTATACATTCATCTTGGAGAGCTGAAGCTGAGAAGTTTTGTATTTAGGGTTATAGTGAGGTGCCTAAATTTAAGACCCAGCTTGAATTGCAGTTCTGTTCGATGTCGTTAAAGGGGTAGTTCATCCAAAAATAAAAATTCTGTCATCATTTACTCACCCTTTGCAAGTGAATTTCTTCTGTTGAACACAAAAGAAGATATTTTGAATTTGAAGAATATTGGTAACCGAACAGTTGCTGGTAGCCATTGACTCCCATATTATGGAAAAAATACAATGGCTACCAGCAATTGTTACCAATATTCTTATGTTTGTCAAAAGTAAGACAAAAAGCTTATGACTACTTAAAGCTACATGCCAGAAATAATTTGGTTAATTTATACTAAACACATACTGCAGCAGAGTGAATCACTGTTTGCTAAAAAGAGATCCTGAGAGCCATACAAAATGTTTGATCTCTTTTAAAATTACTGTAAAAACAGCTACTTCTGATTTGCAGCTTCAGTCTTTTGTGATCTGCCATCTATATTCATTCTTGTTCCTCCTTTCAAATAAAAATATTAGTTTTATTATATTATATTATATTGTAAATATATTAAAATATATTTTAAATTACAAGATAAAAATGGCAAGAGGAAGTACCTTATACCCCAGATATATATTAAAACTATTTAAAAGATTTGTTTACTGCTTGATTGCCAAATGCAATATTGTTATTGTTTGGTTTTATAAGATTGGACATTTTTATGAAAAAGGCAACTGATTTTTTTTTTTTTTTAGATTATTATTTTTGGCGTGTTTGCCTTTATTGTGACAGGAAGGAATAGCGATGAAGCGAAGTGGGAGAGAGGGGGATGGAATCTGGAAAGGTTTTCGAACGGGATTCGAACTTGGGACGCTCATAGCAACGGCCCATGAGGCTATTGGCGCCGACGGAAATTCAGTTATTATTTATAATCATTTTATCTGAAATGCATGTAGCCTAATGAGTGTAAAAGCTATAGCAACATTTCATGGTTTAAAAGTCATTTTCACAAAGGACACAACACCAAAGTCAGGTCTGACTGAAACCTCATCTGAACTTCATCATTCCATAAGCCAAAAAAAAAAAAACTACCAATTTTTTTTCAGTTATCCTAAAACAGTTGCCATGCCAACCCTAGTACTTCCATGCCTTAACTTGGGAAAGAGCCTCGTTGTTTGCAACTTCTGTCCGTAAGCTGTTTTTCACATAATTTACTTCTCCCGCTTTCATATTCAAACAAGCAGATTGCCTTCGAAATGTTTTATTGGGAGCTAAGTGGAAATAAAAAACATGAATACTAATATCAAAGTGTCCAGTGTGTTTACTGAGAATCACTCCGGACACATTGCATTTAAAGAGAAAAGACTTAATTATAACATCTAACACAGGAGCTGCGTGCAATTCACAAGCACAAAGGCAAGAGGGGATTTATTATACATGCATAATAAAGTCACCTACAGACATCAATCAGACTTTCAATGGATGACATGCACGCTGAAGTCTGATATCTTGACCATAATCTGGCTAGTGCCCTTGTCATTATTGATGTTAATTCGTGCTGATTGCCATCTGACCTGCTAATATTAACATCATCCAGTGCTGTTCTGTTATTGAAATGATGTTTACTACCTATCTGTCCTATAAAAGAGTAGCTGTGCTGGGGAACAACATCATCTCTCTGTGTGGCTGTATGAATTGTTTTTCAGAGCTTGTGTGGGAGGCAGCAAGAGTAGCGCTCCGTTTTGAATGATCATGGTAATTAGTGCAACGCACACACTGAACAAAATGCCATCTTGAAAACAGAACATGCACAGACAAATTAAAGCAGTGTATTGCTATGAGTGACATGTTTTCCATTCTCATCTCTCTTTCAGTTGGCTAATGCGACATTTGCATGAGCATGGGCAGGATGGGAAAGGTATGTTGAGACAGCACTGATAACTCTATATCATGATTTCGTTGTTTGTTGAAGAAAATGATAAGTACAAAGACAGGTTTATAGGCTCAAGCATCCATCATTTGGAGTAGTCCTACTGATTTGATAGAATCTACAAGCGAAGAATGAAACAGAATTGTATTGACCCTTTTAACTCTAACAACAATGTTTATTTGACCCTCTTTAGCCCCGGTCTGGATTCTAATGAATTTATAATGTCTTTCAGCTCCTTCTTTTATCCATATAATCACATTGGATATTTTGTTTAGATGGACTGGCAGAGCAAAACAAAAGTCCTATTCCACCTTGTGTGACCTTTCAAATGGATAGTTTAAAGGAAATCTCTCAACAAGAAGCCAACTTTATCACCTGGTTCGACTTCAGATGATTTTCTTTTCGACAGCAGTTGAATAGCAGGTTTGAAGCTGTGTTTTGTGTTTATTAGCCTGCAGTGACATCAGCTGGCCATTTATAGAATTGTCCTGTAACATTCAGTCCGCTTTTTGGGGTATTTGTTGCATTTTGCTAGTGGATATTTAATTTTATTTGATGCCTGCCAGATTTATGTAACTTAATGTTTGAATCATTGTTCAAGAGTTAATCATTGTTCACTAAAAAAAAAAAGAGATCCTGTGAAATCAGCCCAATATATATTTATAAAATATGTGTTTTAGTCACCATCAGTCACCACTGATAAGCTACCACTATATATTGTAGAAACTTAATTTGCTGTAAAGTTGCTTTGCAACGATTTGTATCCTGAAAAGTGCTATACAAATAAACTTGAATTGAATTTAATTGAATTTTATATATACAGTAGAGATCAAAATTAGAGAACAACCTATAATTTCCTAAATTTCAAGGTCACTGCTTAGTTATATTAAAGTCCTTTTAAACATATTTCATAAATTAATTGTATTCTGAAGCACAGTATAAAAAAACGTAAATGTGATATTTGAAAAAAAAAAAAAACACTGATCAAAATTAGAGAACACTTACAGATACCTCCCAGTTATTGGTGTTAATCAGGCACCTGGTGTTAATTTCCTTAATTATATGGCAAACCCTATTTAGCTGGCAGCATTCCTCCTAATTTCACTGAGATTGTAAAATGGTGGGCTGCTCTAAGTTGACTGAAACCCTGCGAAAGGAGGTTGTCCAGATGAAGGCCAAATCAGAATCAGAATCAGAATCAGAATGAGCTTTATTGCCAGGTATGTTTACACATACGAGGAATTTGTTTTCGTGACAGAAGCTTCCACAGTGTAACAGAATGACAGTGACCGAACAAAAAAACACAGATAATAAAAAATAAAAATAAATAAAAAAATAAAAAATAGAACAAGTAAATAAGGAATAAAAAATATACAAATCGACAATTGTATGTACAGGTATAGAACAATAGACAGTTGTATGTACAGGTATATTATGTGCAAATTGAAATGTAGACTGAGTGTGTGTGTTAGATAAATAAGTGTATGAGTGGATAAATAGTGTGTGTTCCACAGTTATTGTCAAGTGTTCATGAGATGGATTGCCTGAGGGAAGAAACTGTTCCTGTGTCTGGCCGTTCTGGTGCTCAGTGCTCTGTAGCGTCGACCAGATGGCAACGGTTCAAAGAGGGAGTGTGCTGGATGTGAGGGGTCCATAGTGATTTTGCCACAGTTCTTGGAGAGAAGGGAGGGTTGTACCAATGATTCGCTCCGCAGTCTACCCTCTACCCTCTGTAGTCTTCTGAGGTCAGATTTGGTAGCTGAGCTGAACCAGACAGTTATAGAAGTGCAGAGGGTGGATTCAATGATAGCAGTGTAGTTGTCCCCCTTCTTGTAAGCATCTTCTTTGGCCTGACGGAGCTGTCGAGTTTTGCAGTGAACCATTGTTTGTCGTTGTTGTAAGTTAGATGAGTCCTGGTAGGAATGCACATGTCTTCACAGAAACTGATATAAGATGTTACAGTCTCTGTGAGCTCGTCCAGATCGGTGGCAGCAGCTTCAAAAACACTCCAATCAGTGAGGTCAAAACAAGCTTGTAAATCCTGCTCTGCTTCATTAGTCCATCTTTTTACAGTCCTTAATACACGTTTAGCTGATTTCAGTTTCTGCCTGTAGGTCGGTATAAGATGAACCAAACAGTGGTCAGAGAGCCCCAAAGCTGCCCGTGGAACAGAGTGATATGCATTCTTTATTGTGGTATAACAGTGATCCAATATATTACTGTCTCTGGTGGGACATGTAATGTGCTGTCTGTATTTTGGCAGTTCACGGGAGAGATTTGCTTTATTAAAGTCCCCGAGAATGATTAAAACGGAGTCCGGGTGTTGTTGTTCTATGTCTGTGATCTGATCAGCTAGTTGTTGTAAAGCCGAGGAATGT